AATCCTCAGATCCTCAGATCTAGTTTTATGTACAGCAACAAATATAATTCAAGGATAATCACTTGGTCATTCTCCTAAAGCATACAGTGCTTTACAGAGAATGCACATGGGGTACATGGGTGGCTCAGTCAGTTGAGCATCTGACTCTTGGTTTGGGTTCAGGTCATGATCTGAGAGTTGTGGGATCAAGTCTCTTGTTGGGCTTTGTGTTCAGCATGGAGTCTGCTTGGGATTCTCCCTCTCTTCTCGCAAATAAATAAATAAATACCTTAAAAAAAAAAGGACACTTGTGTGGCTCACTTGCTTAGGTATCTGCCTTTGGCTCAGGTCATGATCCCAGGACCCTGAGATTGAATCCTGCATCGGGCTCCTTGCTCATTGGGGAGCCTGCTTCTCCCTCTACTTCTGCCCCTCCCCCTGGTCATGCTCACTCCCTGTCTAATAAATAAAATCTTAAAAAAAAAAAAAGAATTCTCATAATATAGCAGCTAGTGCTACAGGTGTTTTCCAAACAGCTCTGTGAAAAGATGCCCATTAATCAATGGTTATAAAGCATCCTACACAATTAACTTGAACTCATGGGTTAACACTGAAACTTACATTACCAACATTATTGTTTAATGCACTACTATATATTTTACTAGCTAGTATATAGTAAAAATAAACCATACCACCTGTTAAGGTCCAGTATATTTAATCACATAAAATGTGAGGTTGCATTAATATAGTATTAGTGAAATAACCAGAGAAAGTCTGTAGTAGCCCGCTGGACGTGATGGCAGTTTGAAGAGAGGAACGCCAATTGTGTTCTATCTGAATTCACATGATTGTGGAATCCATTATCAGTCTTTTTCTGTACTGTAACTAAGTATCAGATTTGTATGTATGGCAACAAAGCCTGTTCTAATGACAAGGAAAATGCAAAGTAAGGGTTCGATAACAGAGATCTCAAAGGACAAATCAGGGCACCTAGGTGGCTCAGTTGGTTGAAGATCTGCTTTCAGCTCAGGTCATGATCCCCGAGTCCTGGGATCGAGCCCCATGTCGGCTCCCTGCTCAGTGGAGACTGCTTTTCCCTTTCTCTCTCCCGCTGCTTAGGCTTTCTCTCTCTCTCCCTCTTGCTCTATCTCAAATAAGTAAAATCTGTTTTGTTTGTTTTTTTTTTTTAAAAAAAGGATGATCTCGATGCCTGAGTGGTTCAGTCAATTAAATGTCTGACTTTGGCTCAGGTCATGATCCCAGAGTGCTGGGATCGAGCCCCGACTGGGCTCTGTGCTCAGTGGGGAACCTGCTTCTCTCTGTGCCTGCTTATGCTCTCTCTGACAAGTAAATAAAATCTTAGGGGGGGAAAAAGGACAAAGCTGTAGGACTTGGGAGGACTGGATAGATGGAGGAGATGAGGGTAAATAAATGACACTCCTGGATCACTTGAAGCATGAAGATGGTGACAGACAAGGCAGAGGTAGAAGTGGTTTCATTCCATTGTTTGGATTGGTAAAGGGATCGAAGGGAAGTATAGGTTGGTTTTAATTATGTTATTTCAAGGTGATGATGGAAAGCTCAAATGACTAGGCAGTTACAGAACTTGAATTTGAGCTCAGGCTTTGGTTAAATGGTTCTCATGGACAAAACAGTAAGGAGTCTAAGAATCCTTTCAGAAGGGAACAGAGCACTGAGTAAGAATCATTTGAGAGGTAGAACCACATTAACTTAAGAGCTAACATTTGAAGTTTATAATATCTTTTTACACACTTTTTTTAATGGAAACCTTGAGAGGTGAGAGGTTAGTTTCAAGTAGATTTACTCATTATAAATATTTATTAAGTGCTTCTGGGAATACAAGGGTAAGTCACAGACTTTGCCCTTAATGAGTTTCCAGTGTAATGGGAGACAAGTAAACAAGTAATTAGGGGCCCTGATTCCAGCACTAACAATGCTGTTTAGTAACTGGCTATTTATTTACTAGTCTCCATCACAGAAAAATCATGAAGTTAAGGAATAGTGTCTTTATCACTCTTACATCTCCAAAGCCTAGCGTAGATCTAGCACATAGGCACTCAGGAAATATTCTAAATGAATTAAATGAAAATAGGTAAGTCTCGGCAATGATGAGTACTACTTCATGGCAGAACATGAGCTGTACGGGGAGAGTGAAGTGTTAGGAAATATGGTTAGTGAATAGTGGGTTGGAGATCAGATTTTGGAAAGTCTTACATGTTATGCCAAGGGATTTATAGGTGGCATACTGAGGATTCAAAGAGAATGTCAGAGGGATGCCTGGGTGGCTCGGTTGGTTATCCAGCTCTTGGTTCCAGCTTAGGTTGTGACCTCACAGGGAGTGGAATCAGCTCTGCGTTGGGCTGTCAGAGGACACCATGGAATCTGCTTCAGATTCCTTCTTCCCCTCAACCCCCCTCTGTTCCTCCCCACTCATGTGCTCTCTCTCCCTAAAAATAAATTTAAAAAACCCCCCAAAACCCAAACAAACCAAAGAGAATGTAAGACATGGGAATGACAATCAGATTTATGCTTTGGAAAGAACACCTTGGTTGGAGTGTATGTTACTATAATAGACAGTGCTTTCAAAACTTTTAAACATATTTAAGTATGCACATAGAATGGGAGGCTGGCTGTATAGGACGACGTGCTTTGACCTGTATTCAAGGTCCTGGCTCTGCTCAACAAATGCTTGAACAAATCATCTGGTACCCAATAGGTACTTCCATCTACGTACATTTCCTTCCCCTTTTCCTTCCTCTGAATACACTGATTAAAAAGAGAGCCAACAGATAAATCTTGAGGATATAATGCAGAGGACTTAATAGGCCCTCAAGAGGCAGTAAGGGAGGGAAACAAGAATGGGAGGGGTTCCTTGGGCTTATGGCATGAGGACAAACAACTTTTCTCGAGTTGAAAGGCTGACAGACTTAAGAAATAGAGAGGAGGAAAGTTTGCAGAGTTTCCATTAACTGGGAAAAGGGTGGAAAAGAAGCAGTAGACATTAGATCGACAAATGTGAAAACTCCCATCAGGGTTAGGTAAATAGGTCTTACTGAGGCCTTAACATGTTAACCTGCAATGGTGGTAAGAGCAGTTGTGGAAACACTCCCCAGCAGCACTGAGCAAGTTGGGAGGAACAAAGATGGGGGTGGTTGGACGAAACCAGGACTGGGAACTGGCAGGATGAGGACCTAAGGAAAGGAGGAAAGTGATCCGAGAAAGCCCCTAAACAGCTGCCAGAAGTGAATGACTGTAGGGCATAGGTCAAGAAGGGAAGGAAGTCAAGTTGGAAGTTAACAGAGTGAAATAGAGTAGAATAGAGAAGGGCTAATGGATTTAAAATCTCGCTGAAAATTATTTATAACATAATTTAGCCTTCATTCTTTTGGCTTTGGCAAGGAAAAAAATCAATTTATTTTTTGAACCTCTATAGACTAGAAAATAGGAAAATTTCAAAATTACAGGTCTTCTACATCCAAAATCCAGTTTACTTTGGTTCCAAGACATTCCTTTAAGCAGAAAAAAAAAAAACACAAAAAAACTGTAGTTTAAACCTAAGTAGATAAATTAATATATTTTTACTAGATTTAAAGTACTCTTACATTGTTCTTCTGTATTGACAACTATGATTATAGTTCAAGGTGAAAAGAATAGACTTTTGATTACTTAATGGATAAAATGACTCTTTTCGTAAGTCTCCAATTCAAGGTCAAGCATTTCTGTCCTTGACAAAGACCAGATACAAATGACAAAGGAATCATGAATAGCACCAGGCCAAAATTAATTTGATTAGGTAAGGAATAATCAACTTAAGCAGCCTTCATCTTAACGGTAAATATTTTTATATAGTTAGCATTAGATCTTTTTGACTAATCTTTAAGTTTTTAAGTAATGGATACATAAACACAGTTCAAATTTCCATAATGCAGCATAAATACCCATGATTTTCAATTAAAATGGAAGATACAAATTATTTTAAAAACTAGTGAAGGTACTACCCAACTCTTCAAAGGTTGGGTTGAAGGCTTCAGTGAGATTTTTTCATGCAAGTTCATAGTGATTAAATCTGCCAAAACATATTATAATGGAACCAAACAAGCAAAATGCAATGTTTCTGGAAAACAGTTTCATTGGGGGAGGTCAGCAACACTTGTAAACTAAGGAATCAGGGTTTTTCTTTTCTTTTCTCCTACCTCTTGTTGCCAGGTGGCTCCAGGGTGTTCAGGGTAGAAAGTACACAAAAGGGATAGAGAGTCAGGGTTAAAGCACTATAAAGCTAATTGAGTACCTGACAGCAGAGCCTTTGACTACTTTCCAGCCAGGCACTAGCTCTCAGGTTAACACTTCTCATTCCTTTAATCAGAGATTAAAGATACCTATTTCCCTTTTTATTCAAGCACCAATTGCCTTTAAGGGGGAGTAGTGACCTCAGTAGCAAGGAAAAGGGCGTTTCCCCCTGCTTTTGTACTTAAGGTGAGCAAACAGCTCTTTTATGATTTTTACTTACTAACCAGTAGGAAACTACAAAAAGGCTTAAATAAAGGCTCCTCCCTAAAATACTCTTTCCATGTACCTTTTGTTTCTTCTCAAATGGAAAGACATTGCTGTATCCAGGTAGCAATCTGTTTTGGGGTCACAAATTATAAGGAAAAAAATGAATGAATTTGGACTAGCGTATAAATTCCATTAAGTGGAGTCTCCCTGGTTAAAAAGCAGAATTTGCTGGGCAGGGAAGAAGAAAAAAAAGGAAGAGGGTAAGAAAAAAGACTAGTGCACTTACTGCTTATCACGGTCAGCTTTTTCATGGAAGATTTTAGTGAGGGAGTTTCCAAGAAGAGACCGAGATATTATAAGTAACAACATTTAGGAAGAAAGCGGAGGTCGTGGTCTCTGGGCCAGCTCGCTACAGAAACTGGTCCCAAGGAGTCACTGACTTGAAACTGGGGTAGGCGAATGGGAAATTGCCCATATAGCACAGTTAGGAAGTATCTGGATAAAAATTCCTGGAAGCTGAAGTCTTCTTTATTGACAGAATCAACAGAACATTTGTGGCAGTTGTCCATAAGGTCCAGACATAGCACATTCTGACATTCAAATCAGACCTACTTAAATGTGGCTCGTTTTGATTCTTTCAACTTTGTACTATGATGATTATCTGTACAAAGGGGTTCTAAATCGAAACCACCTCATTCACATCACCCCTATTCACTCTGTTTGTGGAGAGTGACAGCTCGGTCCAAATTTTTAAAAGTGATAGGCTAAAAGACAAAAAAATAGTCAACTGCAATAAGCTACCAGGTCTAACTGGAAATGGCTTAATATTATTCATTCTCTTCTTTGAACATTTTGCTTAAGTGCTTAATTAGGGCTACGAGCTCAGGGTTCCCACCACGTGCATCGATTTGTTTATAGGCTTTAGATTCAAGCTCTTTAAGAGTACTCCGAGTGTATTCAAAAGAACCTACATCCTCGAGATAATGTACACAGTATTTTTTAATATCTACATTCTCGGTTCTCTGACGCAAGATATTCTGCACCTGCGTGCTTTCAGGCCTCGACCAAATAGCATGAATAGTAGGAAAGGAGAACTTTCCCTCTGTTAGATCTTCACAAAAGCTTTTGTTTTCACTATACTCTTTGGAGTGTAAATTAGCATAATCATCCCTAATTTGGAAAAAGAGCCCCAGTGTATTAAGCAGTGGCTTTAGATCTTCTTTGTAGTCAGAGAACAACTGCATGAGACCTACTGCTAATCCGAAGAGTCCACCTGTCTTCTGCAGCACCATTGCTTTATATTCTTCTTCAGTGGGACAAGTGTAATTATCCCTCCAATAAATATCTAGACCTTGTCCCTGATGGAGTTCCAAAAGCTGGTGGGTAAAAAGCTTCACTGCATCTGGGTGATTAAGGGTTAAGACTTTCTCGAGGCCAAGGAAATACACATAATTGGCAGAATTGATGACAGATGGAATTCCATAGATGCTGTGTGCCACTGGAAAGCCACGTCGGAGTTTTGAGTTGTCTTCAATATCATCAATGAGCAAACTGGCATTATGCAACATTTCTGTCACTTCAATGATAATCTAACAAAAAAGATAGGTGACAATTTCATTTAGTTTGACCTATTCAAAACAGCTTATAAATACTTAACAGATTATGAGAGTCTCAGATTTCTTAGTTTTTGCAATGAATAATTATTTAGCAACCTCAATATAAAACAATACATGTATCCACATTAAACTCAATTAAGAGCAAAGAGTATTTTATGTCCCATATATTAATTTGTTAGGGATTAAGAATGAGGTTAGAATTGCCTAAATACCTGTAGTTTGTCTTCTGGAACTTTTAGCCAATGATTAAATGCCTGTGAAAGTTTGGTTCTCACTTGTTTACCTGAAATTAAAGAATAAAATTTGGCAATAAAATTAATATTTCAGTTATTAAAAAAACATTCAGAAACTTCCTTGGAAATTGTTGAGACTTGAATCCAGGCCCATCACTGCTGCCCCCCCCCCCCCCACACCGCCCCCTCTACCAAAATTCGCATTCTGAAAGCTCACAGTCTTTTGAAATCAGGGCATGCAAGGAGATTCTAAAGTATGCAAATGGCCCACTAGTAAGCCCACTCCTTTCATCTTAAGTTGTATCAACAATTTTGGAATGAAATATGGGCATTTTAGGAACTATGATCTAATTCATTCCTTTTCTGAAAAATAAGCCAGTCTAGTCAGTGGCAGTTAATCAGCAATGTCTGTTTTCAGAGAACTGTAGGTATTTCTAATGAATTGTACTTTGCTATTGAATTCAATAAAATATCATAAAACTACCTCTTAAAATTATCTACCATTTCTTTAAATTAAGGTTTTAGAGACTGTACAACTCTGCTTCTTTCCTATAAAAAAATGAGATGACCATTCCCTGAAGTATTCCCTTTCAGCATTCCAGTTTAGTCAAAAGTTAATCTTTTTATTTTGACTAGGGCCATTAGTTTTTCAATATTATCATTTTCTTACATGGAAAGCTCAAGAGGTTTTTGGTTTTTTGCCCAAATATAAAGGAATGGTAGATAAACTCTAACCAGTTCTTTTAATAGCATTCTACAAGTTTCCTGCTAGAGTGAATGCACAGTAACATCCTAATTTCAGATGGTTTCAGAAAAAGTTACATAAGTTTCAGTGAACAGAAACCGTATTTTCTAAGACCTATCTATGTATTCTCTGCACCAGTCACCCAAGCAAATGAATAAACTCTCATCACATATCCAAATGAAAAAAAGTTGCACTTTTTGTGAGAAGTCTAAAAGAGAAGGATCTCTTAGGGTTCAAGAAGCAGTATTTTCTGTCTACTAACCTTTAAGGTGAGCATGGTCTGGGTAGCAGATATATAGTTTGTACTTTGTTCTACTTTCCAGTTTAACAAAGGCCAATCTGAGCTATACTGACAAAGTACATCTGTGCAAAGTAACCATATCGCTTTAAAAAACAAGTTTAGAAGATGAAGAACACAAAGAATCAATGTGGAGCCACATTTTTCCTTTTTGCTTTTGAATGTACATAGAAAAGAGCACATAAATGGCTTAACTTATAGGTAATGTAGTTGTGTTTCAGTGTTTTTTTCCTTTAACCATAATCTGGGGTCTGGGTTGATAGTTTCAAGGCCCTAAATAATTTCTAACAGGTGCTAGTCACAGAGATCCCTCAAAATTAAAAGAAACACATGATAATTACCTTTCTTCATTTATTTATTTTTTAAATATTTTATTTATTTATTTGACAGAGATCACAAGTAGGCAGAGGCAGGCAGAGAGAGAGGGGGTAGCAGGCTCCTGGCTGAGCAGAGAGCCCGATGCGGGGCTCAATTCCACGACCCTGGGATCATGACCTGAGCCGAAGGCAGAGGCTTAACCCACTGAGCCACCCAGGTGTCCCCTTTCTTCATTTATTTCTTAAAAATATTTATTTTAGAAGGAGAAGAGTGTGTGAGTGGGGGTAGGGGCAGAGAGGGAGGGAAAGGACAAGCAAACTCTATGCTGAATGTGGAGTCTGATGCTAGGGCTTGATGCCCATGACGCCAAGATCATGACCTGAGCCCAAGTCAAGAGTCTGATGCTCAACTGAGCCACCCAAGAACCCCCTAGTTACCTCTCCTCTTTTAAAGACTTTAATGTTACTAACTCCCGGCCTGGGGACCTACCCTAGGGCAAATAAATAAAAGTCATTTGACTTCACAAATTCCAGAAAATCCTAATACTAATAATTGCTAATTAATATAATCTTTTAATAGCAAGAGTAACTTTTTGACAGAATAAATGGCCTGGCCCACCTTTAAGTCACTTTAGGAACTCTGAGTTCTCTGTGAAAAACAGGTTTATTATGCATAATGCAATTTCCTATCTCTTTTTTAAAGATTTATTGTGGGGGGAGAAGACTGCATGTGCAAGCAGAGGGGCAAGAAGAGGAGAGAATCTCAAGCAGACTCCTTGTGGAGCCCGATGAGGGATCAATCTCGTGACCCTAAGATCATGACCTGAGCTGAAATCACGAGATGGACACTTAACAAACTGAGCAGCCCAGACACCCCCCCATTTAAGAAAAATTTTTAACTTAAATTCAATTTAGTTAACACACACTGTATTATTAGTTTCTGGGGTAGAATTTAGTGATTCATCAGTTGCATATAACACCCAATGCTCATTATATCATGTGCCCTCCATCACCTAATTCCCCCACTCCCTCTTTTTAAAGATTTTTATTTATTTTTGTTTTGTAATTTATTTTTTAGATTCTATTTATTCATTTGAGATACAGAGGGAGAGAGCGTGAGTTGGGGGAGGAGCTAAGGGAGAAGGAGAAAAGCAAACTCCCTGCTGAGCAGGGTGCCTGACATGGGCCTTGATCCCAGGACCCCCAGATCATGAGCTGAGCCAAAGGCAGATGCTTAAATGACTGAGTCACCCAGGCACCACAAAGATTTTTATTTATTTATTTATTTTTTCAAGATTTTATTTATTTGACAGAGATGACAAGTAGGCAGAGAGGCAGGCAGAGAGTGGGGAAGCAGGCTCCCTGCTGAGCAGAGAGCCCGATGTGGGGCTTGATTCCAGGACCCTGGGATCATAACCTGAGCCGAAGGCAGAGGCTTTAACCCACTGAGCCAACCCAGGTGCCCCAAGATTTTTATTTTTTAAGTAATCTCTACACCCAGCAGGGGGCTTGAATTTACAACCCCAAGAGTCACATGCTCCATTGATTGATTCAGCTAGGTGCTTCATAATTTTCTGTTTCTTTAGGAAAATCTTTTGAGGTTATATTCTAAAATGGATGCAAGATTGTATTAGATAGTAAAAAAGTGAGATACCTAATGAGAGTTTTAAATGTTAAAATACTATAGGATAATGAGGATTAAATAAAAATGTTACAGAAGTTCATTACACAGGTAAACATTATTGCTAAAATTAGCTACAGATGGTCCTTGTTTTGCTTAGCAGAACAGGAGACACTCCTTAGATGCTTTACAGCACTGATAACTGGCATGTATTACCATAGCCCAGTTCTAGCCAGTGTCTGCAAACTTGTTACAAAGTAAGTCCAACAATGGGTAAAGTGCAGGAGAAACATCATCCTGTTTCTCAGCAGGAGACCCTCTAATAAGTGTAGTTACTAGCTGCTGAATAAATCACTCAAAAGGGGTCTCTTGATTTTTCTTTTTTCGGGGGAAGTGGGTGGGGCAGAGGGAGAGAGAGAACTTGATCTCAAAATCAGATTCTGAAATCTGAGCTGAAATCAAGAGTCAAGATGCTTAACTGACTAAGCCAACCAGATGCCTTCTTGGCTTTTTCTTAAAAAGCAGGCAACTTTTCATTATTCTTTTCTCTTTCTTTTTTTAAAAAAAGATTTATTTATTTGAGAGACGGCACATGCACGTGTGCAATGGGGGCGAGGGGCAGAGGGAGAGAGAGAAGCGCACTCTCTGCTGAGTGCAGAGCCCCAATATGGGGCTTGATCCCAGGACCTGGTACCATGACCTGAGCTGAAGTTAGATGCTCAACCGACTGAGCCACCCAGGTGCCCCCCTAGTCAACTTTTTGAGCTGTACTTACAATAATTGTAGTACGTAGTTATATATCAATATATCAATAAAAAGTAGCACCATGACAAGGGCAAGGCAGTCAACGTTGTCTGCCCTGGATGTAGGCAATAAAGAGGTGCACTACCTTTAATGAATTTAAAAATAGTAACAGACCCTGGGTGTCTTGAGTGGCTCAGTTGGTTGGGCATCTGCCCTCAGTGCAGGTCACGGTCTGGGGGTCCTGGGATGGAGCCCTACATTGGGCTCCTTGCTCAGTGGGGAGCCTGCTTCTCTCCCTCTGACTGCTACTGCTTGTGCTCTCTCTCTGTCAAATAAATAAAAACTTAAAAAAATAGTAACAGACTGACTAGTTTTTAAAAAAGTGTAAATCTTCTTTGTCCTTTGGATCTTGAGGATTTCATCTTTAATATGTTAATATTTTAACTTTTAAGAAGCAGGATTTTATTTTATTTGTCTCTGGACTCATCATAGTGGAAGGTAATTTATATCTAACAAATTTAGGATCCGTTTACATTGCTTCTATAGTACTATGGAATATCTTTATGCTGTCAATTAGATTTCATTTAATAAGCTTTGGTGAGTTATTACTTTTTTTAAAGATTTTATTTGGGTGGGGGACACAGCAGGAGGAGTGGGAGAGGGAGAAGCACGCTTCCCACCAAGCAGGGAGCCCAATGCAGGGCTTGATCCCACGACCCCAGGATCATGACCCGATCCAAAGACGCCCTGGTTCCCTCCATTTTTCTGAAACACTGACATTAGCAGGTACGTCTCCATATAGGTCCGCCAGAATAGAAATGACGCTAATCATGATGGCTTTCAAGATGTAGCTGGGGAGCTACCACTCTTCAGCTTCTGATAACCATATTTATCCTCTCCAGGCTATGAAGAATAGAAACACACATAATACCACGGAGGTGGGCCCACAAAGAAAGGTGTGCACTTTAGAACAAAAATGAACAAGTGTTTATTGTGATTGATTTGAGAACATCACTGGTCTATAGGTTAGCTATCTTATGGGCTAAATAGGTTTTTATGGTTGTCAACTAATTCACCATCTTTTATGTAATTTCTACAAGAAAGTACATTCCAAGTTTCAAGTAACTGGTCTGTGAATGAATTTTTATTATAGGAACCCACCCTTATTATATATATGAGTTTTGAGTTTTAACTTGCTATCACCATTTTCCAGACCAAGTTAAAAAAATAGCAAAATAAAACATACATATACATGTGATTAGGCAGGTGTTACCGTAAGAAGCCATGTTCAGGTGACCCATCTACATGTATGAATAATGTGGGCCTTGTTTCTAAGTAATGTGACTTAGAGATGCATTACTATTTGGCTCTTAAAGGAACTAGTAGCATAAGAAATGCAGTGAGTAGATGACAGTGGAAAACATGAACGTGGAAAGTAAAGCTTTTTGTTGTTACATAAATTGGCATAAAAGCCCCTGACACCTAAATAGTAGGGAATAGGAACATGTGGCATCCCAAAACCTCCAATGACGTACTCAAATGTTTTCAGTATTTTTTTTTTAGTTATGTTGTATAAATGGACATTTTTAAAAGGGTATGTCAAAAATACCCCCCCCTTTTTAAATATTTTATTTATTTATTTGCCAGAGAGAGAGCAGGGGGAGTGGCAGGCAGAAGGAGAAGTAGGCTCCTCACTGCCCGATCCGGGACTCGACCCCAAGTGAAAGGCAGATGCTTAACCGACTGAGCCAGCCAGGCATCCCCAAAATATCCCCTTTAAGAACATAAAACTAAAATGTTCTATTTGTAATTTTCCTTGTATGTATCCCTTATTAAATAGGAAATCTCAAGAGCTAGTAAGTCTAATCTTTTCTGTATGCTAGCATTTGAATGACCACAACTCTATCACAAGACTCTATATGGATCTATGGACCATAACTAAACAGTTACCTGGTAACTGAAGTAAATACTTATAGGGTTCTAGAAGAATTCTTTGGACTGTTTCTTGAGTCTTCTCCATTGTTTTTAAACTTCAAAGCTGATCTGTGAAAAAGGAGAAATATAAAGATAATCTTAATAACTGAATTAATTTTGAGTTCCAAATGCAAAGGGATTTGTATCTCAAGTTGTTTTTGTACAGGCAGACTTTCAGTATGTTATATAAGAAAATTCTACATATATGAAATCTTGAAACATGGTAAGTAAAAGGAGCCCATCTTCAGAAAAGGAAAATCACAAACACAGAAAGCAGATTGATGACTGCCTAGCACTGTGGTAGCAAGAAGAGGGAGTATGAAGTTTCTTTCTGTAGGAATTAAAATACTCTACAATTAGATTGTGGTGATGGTTGCACAACCCTATGAATATACTAAAATGTTAACTTTATATGGGTGAACCACACATGTAAATTATCTCATAAGAAAAAAAGGAAAATCTTCAAGTGATTTCATTGGTCAGAGTATTCACCTGGGTTGTAAGTGATTTCCTCAGTTACATAACTTAAACTAAGCCATTCTTATTTTACTCAACCATAAGGGCTTAAATTGTTGACATCAAATCAATGTCAAAATAAATCCACAGAATTAGATACTTCTATATTTGACTGATTACATAAATTAGTAAACATACTTTTTTCAATGAGCATTAGAATGAATAAATTTTATATCTTAAAATATAAGGCGAAAACTTCTCTCTTATACTTTCTTTATAATCAATCCATTTCAGAGATTCTAATTTAAGACGTACACTAACTTGAATAAAATTATCAAAAATATTACCTTGTATACACACACACACACACACACACACACACACAATTCCCTTGTAGCGATTTATTATTGGGAGTTTTACCTTACTTCAGTGTTTTCTAGAATACCATTTGTGGCCTTCCTCCTATACTTTTTTACTGTTGAATCCAACCCCTACTTGGCTTTTTTGTATCTTTTGCTATTTTTATTTGTCCTTATCTTAGGAATCTACTTTTCTAATTACTCTGACATCTTGGCACATTTTAGGTGGCTTCTCACCTTTATCTGTTTTCTTTTGTTTCTATAACAATGATTTATTTGGTCTTTAGAATCATGAACTGAAAGGATCAAAAAGTGTGTTTTCTGTAATCTCCTCTTGAGTAACAAGGAGAAACAATCTTCAGAATTGAGCACTCCAGCAAAGGAAATCATCTTAGCAATATGACCTCAAAGAGAAACATTCCATGTAGAAATGGAATGCCTTGACTGCTCTGATTTACACCTTCCTTGACTGACAATTAATACCCAGTATGTCACAGGGGAAAAAAAAGTTCGAAAATATTTTGAAACTATCTAAAAACTAGTAACCTCTTATCTATACTGTTTAAACTTTAACATGTTGCCTCATTTTTTTTTCCTTTTTCTATTTTATCTATTTAGATAGATAAAATAGATTTTATCTATTTATTTGTCATAGAGAGAGAGAGAGGGCACACGCAGAGGAACAGCAGGCAGAGGGAGAAGCAGGGTCCCTGCTATGCAAAGAGCCCAATGTGGGACTCGATCCCAGGACCCTAGAATCATGACCCAAGCCAAAGGCAAGATGCTTAACCAACTGAGCCACCCAGGCGTCCCGACATATTACCTCATTCTTAAGAGATCAGAAAAAGATGACAAGCAGGAAGAATAATCACTTAAATAAAAGATTATTAAACAGAATTAAAGGTAGGATAAACAAAAAAAGGGATCTTATACTTCTGCATTTAGAACAGTTGGTAGCCATCTCTTCCATAACAGGTTGAGAGCAATAATCATGTTCATCTTTTTTCACAACCTTCAGAACACACTTAACTTGAAATAATGAGTCTACCTTTCAAGAACTCTTTTGTCTTCATCTGGAGACAGATATACTCTTGCCCAGAAGTCAGTGCTAACTAACCTTTGTTCCAATTCTTAAGGCTTTGGTTGATGCCATTAAAAAACAAAAAATATGAATTATAAATTTTTAAAAATTATCTTTTTAGAAAAGATTTTATTTATTCATTTGACAGAGAGAGACAGAAGACGGAACACAAGCAGGGGGAGTAGGAGAGGGAGAAGCAGGCTTCCACTGAGCAGGGAGCCCAATGCAGGACTCGATCCCAGGACCCTGAGATCGTGACCCGAGCCGAAGGCAGAGGCTTTAACCCAATGAACCACCCAGGCGCCCACCTTAAGAAACTCTTAATAAGTAAGTGAATTAATGTTCCTTTCCTACAGGATGTTTATACACAAGTATTCTCAGTAGTGGGAAAACACAGGAACCTCAATTTTTCTAGATATTGAAAAGTAATCTGTTTTGTGTCTTAAGTCTCAGGGTTTCTACATACAGCAGCCTATACCCTACCTGCTTCCTCACCCCCCTGCCCCTTTTTAATGCAAAGCCTCCTATTGTGGCTGGAAATTTCAGTCATCAGATAGGTATTAGACTCCAACATAAAGAAGCATTGTTACATGAAATCAACTATCTTGTTTTTAGATTGAATAACTACAGAATGCCTCTGTGAGAGTCTGAAACTACTCACTTTCAAAACTGGAAAACTGCCTTTAATTTGTTCATACAATTGATGGATGAATATTAACATAAAAATAACTGTCCCCCCTGTATGGACTACTACTGACATAATCTGGTTGGGCTCCCTGCATTTGCCCCTCTAATGTAGACCTCTACTCTTCGGCCAGCAAAATTTAGATCTGGCCTTATTTCCCAACCGACTGAGAACCCTTCGGAGACATCCCTTTGCTCTTAGGTAAGAACACACTCCCTAACAAACTGTCTGGAAGACTGGGCTACTCCCGCCTCCCCCGCCCCCAGCTTCAGTTCTTCACACTTTATTTTATTATCATCATTTTTGTTATTACTATGTTAGTTCTTCACACTTTAAAATCTCTCTCTAGATACAAGGCTCCCAAGATGTTATTTTTTTCCGCCTGGAAAGTTCTTTCCCTATTAACTCCTGCTAACCCACTCTGAGCTCGATCCTCACTCTGCTTCCCTTAAGTCGAATTCCCTATTCCAAATCATCACGTAACTCTCCTTCGCAGCACTCACCACTGTTACCAACTTCACACCCACTTGTGGGTCCACTTTACTCCCGTCTGTACCGTTTTCCAGACGGCAGGCGCCCAGTAAGCACGGGAAGGACTGAATGAACCTCATGGTTCTAACGCGCTGGAGGATGAAATCAGGGCATACACTTGCAGTATAAAAAGTCAGAATACCGTGCAAGTTGCTTTTTGTTTTTTTAAAGGGAATGATCTGATTTCAAAATTGCTAAGTGGTGCCAGACGAGTATCAGTGTAGCTGGAAACGCAGAACGGATCCTTCCACTCAAACCCCGGGAGGTGACAGACCTGAACAAAACTGCCCGAGCTACAGGCAGCGGATTTAAATAACTTCGAGGCAGATTTTTAGCAGAGACTTGGCCAAAGCGCTTCCCGGCGCTCCTCTGCTAGTCGGAGCCCGCAGGGCCGGTGAGGTTCCTGCTTCCTCTCGGTTCGGATGCACCCTTCCGCCCTACTGTGTCACCCACCGCTCCTCCCCTTCTCCAGCGAGGATGGAAAATTCATACACAATCCGGTTCAGCATCCGGGTCCTCACCCTCCTTTCTTTCTTTCCCCTCGACCCCGCCTTCCCGCCTCCCCCGCCCTCACTCCCATCCGGGTCCCCCCCGGCCGCCACCACAGCCGCTCACGGTTCAACGGTGATATCACAACTTTCGCGCCGCCGGCCCGGGAGTAGTAGTGCCCAGCATCAACTTCCCACTTTATAGTTCAGAACAACGCTCCGCCTGACGCCTACATGGATCCCTCCCCCTACTTCACCACAGAACTCTCCGCCCTCTTCAGCCGCCAGCGACGCCGCATTACTCGGTGCAAGAAAATGCGCCATCCCGGTCACACTGCGCAGGCGTCGTTGCCGCCTCCCTACTGCTTTGTTGCCCCGCCCCTTCCCCTCCCCCCACTACTTGCCTCACGCGGACGCGGGGCATTGCGGGTCTTGCAGTTCTCCTGGGCAAAGGCTTTCGCATTGGCCCCAGAGGTTGGACTACATTTCCCGGGAAGCTTTGAGGAGTAACTTTCTGTTTCCATAGAAGTGGTGGGAAAATGGCGTCGTTGTTTGTATCCCGGGGACCAATAAGAATAGGGGATGGGCGGGTTCTAAAGAATGCTAACCAATCCGAGGTCGTCTGAGGGGCCATCCGGGAAAGAGGTAGGGGAGGGGAAAATATCTAGGGGAGGGGAGAAAGAAGGGAGGGGGGCTCTTGGGGTGGGGGGGGAAGCGATGTTTGCCCGTCAGTCGAGTCCGGAGTGAGGAGCTTGGGCGCCGGAGCGGAGGGAGACTCTTGAGCTGAAGCTTGCCGCCGCCACGGCCACCGCCTGGACCTTTGCCCGGAGGGAGCCGCAGAGGGTCTGGCGCCGCCGTCCTCTGGAGGGCAGCGCGATCCGGGGCCCGGACCTCCAGTCCGGGAGGGATTTTTCGTCGTCCCCCCCCCTCCCCCCAGCGAGGGAGCCCGAGCGGCCGCCAAACAAAGGTACCAGTCGCCGCCGCGGGAGGAGGAGGAGCCGGAGCTTCAGCCTCAGCAGCCGCTGGACCCGCCGCCCTTCTTCCCCCATCTCTCCCCCGGGCCTGCTGGTTTTGGGGGGGAGCAGGGGAGGGAACTCTGGACGTGCCAGGGTGAGAGCTCGCCTCCGCCGAAGGTAGGGGCATTTTCTGAGGCTTTCGCGGTCCCGTGAGGGGTCCTTTCGGGAGTCCGCGGGCCCGGCCGAGGAGCAGGGGGCGATCGCTCGGTGGTCTCGCCGGGCGCCCGGATTCGGGGCCTCCGCCTTCCGGGAGCCCCCGCCCCCGTGCAGTTGCCGAGTCCGAGTCGCCCCCCAGCCTGGCGGCTGCACACTCAGCGATTTAGCGTCTCTGGGCCGCGGTGGGGGGCCCGGGCCGGCGGGGGGCAGTGTCTGCTCCCGGCCCCCCGGTCCTCTGGCGGCCCCCGCGGCCCGGGAGCCGGGGATCCCGCTCGCACTTGTCTGGTCTCCGCCTCGGAGCGGGACGTGGGCAGCGGCTGAGCGGCGGGTCGGTCCTGCCCGCGGCCCTCCGGCCCGCCTGGCCTCTCCGCCGCCCCCACCCGGGGCCCCTCGGGCCCGGGCCTGCTCCGGCTCGGAAGCGGGGCTGCGCGACCCTCTGGGGCGCCGACCCGCTCGGCCGGGCCCGGAGGCCCTCGGGGAGGACAGGCAGCCCCGCGCCGGCCCCCGGGCTTGTTGTGAGTTTCTTCTCTGACAGAAATGGCGTCATTGTCGGAGACGGGAAACTCTGTCGGGTCCCGACAATGGGGACGGGAAGCGGCCGAGCTGTGGAGGTGGCTGGGTTTGCGGGGCTGGCGAGGCCACGGGGAGCCCCTCGTCTGCGGTTCGCGGTTCGGGGGCTGACGTCCGCCACGGCGCTTTCTTCGGGGTTCGGGCCGCGCTCGGTTCCCTCCGCCTCCGCCGGTGCAGAGGGTGCGTGTGGTGCCGACTGGGTGTCTTTTGTTTCCCCTCCAGGTGCAGGTGAATCTGGTGTTTTCGAGGGGATCGCGGTCCCAGAATCATCATGAAGGTAAGATTGCGTAGAGGAAACGACCTCTGGGGTTCTAGAATTGGGGAAGGGGGGGTGATCGGGCTTGTGTGTGGGGCCTCCGAGTTTCGCCGAGGAAGATGTGCGGGGCGGCCTGGTGCCCGAGCCCCTTCCCCTGGAGACGGTGGGGTCCGCTGGCGTGGCTCTCTGTGGCTCTGCTGTGGAGTTGGGGCCACTTACAGGAGGTCGCACTGAGCACGGCTCTCCCATATCGAACGTCTCTTTCTGCAGGGTAAGGCAGGAGTAACTGCATGAAATAAACTGTTTTAAAAGGTAAAACAGAAAAAGCAGGTCAAGTAATCCGACTCTGGAAACTGAACTGTGTTGTGGTTCTAGCGATTACACTGATGAAAGAAAATCCCGTCTGTTGCGTGTACCTTGCTGGGAATTTCTAGCAGAAGACCTGTTTGTTTGCTGAGAAAATAATCTGAACTGAAAGATTTTTAAAGAGAATCTTTATGATCTTTACACAACTCAGAGATATTACTTTTTCCTGGGATTTAGGACCCTACTTTTTTTTTTCCCTTGGTTGATCCGTTTAGTCTAAATTGTCAGATGTTGTGATAAAACCAATGTGGATTGATGTGGAAAGCCCATGGCCAGATTCCTCTTAAATGTAAACACGTTAACCGAATGGAGGATAATGTGTAAAAAGTAGAATTTACTTAGTTGGTGGAAGAGATCATGACAATGGAAGTGTAGGTTTTTATTTTTTGGAGACTATGTAATAGAATGGTGTTATTTTTTATACACTGGGGAATAAAAAGCCTTAGATACTCTGGCCTGTTTAGATTCAACTGGTAGAACTTAGAGACTAGAGATATTTTTCATCCATGACAAATTCGGAAGTGCTTGAAACGGTAGGGTGTGTTCACAAGTATAGGAATGCATAGAATAGTATCTGAAAATGTAAATGTCTGCTTTTGATAGTTCCTTTGAATTATTTGAAAACAAGTTTTTTTCTGTTCAGGATGGATTTGCTTTTATAGTACTGCATCTAAATGAAAATTTGTAATGCTTCTGTTTATGAAAGAAAGTAAAAGCTGTGACTACTTAAATATCAGCTATACGCAGTAATTTTAGTTTTTCTTTTCCTTTTTTAGTTTTTTTTTTTTCTTCTTGAGTTTGGATGCTATAAAGTATCTGAAACAGTTTATATCTGCTGAATTGTTGTCTCACCTTCATGTAAATGAAAAAAGTAGTCAGTGATGTTTCAGAAACAGATCCCTTTTGTTAGTCACAGATGCTAGCTATAACTCCTGGGACCTGTATAAAACAGTGACAAGTGAATTTGTTAGGAAAAACCGTATATCTTCCTTGGTGTTGGGTGAGAACTTCTTAAAGGAAAGTGTTGGGTTGAATAACATATAATAAATTCAGAAGCTGAATAATATAGGATTTAGTTTCTGGTAGATACTGCAATCTGTCATAGTTCCCAATGTACTGCCTGGCACGTCTTTGGTGTTCTGTTAATATTTGATTAAAAGAAATGTAGTAAGTTGAAGGTCCTTAAGATTTAAATTTTCTTTCCTTTTCTTTCATTTCCGTTTTTTTTTAACTTGTGTGTTTAAAAAATGAAAGTACGTTGGAAACTTTAGCCTTTAAGAGTGTCATAGTATTAGGCAAATGCAAATTTTTTGGTATAATTTTAGAACTACTAATTTTAAGTGCTTAGTATTTCCATTAACATTGCCTTTTTAAAAAAGGGTACTACTGATGTTGAAAGGAAGAGTTATTAATGTAAATTTCTGATTTTATACAAGAAGAACTTCCTGTTTATTGTATATATAGTGAGTCTTTTCTTTGGGAGTCTACTGATAATCAGCAGTACTACAAACTTAGCTTATTTCTTACAACTTGATTTCTTACATGGTGAACATTGAGAGGCTGCCCATGATTGATTGGCATTTTGCTTTAACAAAGTTGCAATTCAGAAAGTACTTAATAGTAATTATAGTGGGCTCACATTTTCTCTTTTTTTTGTGTTCCCAGTTTCTAAATTGTAATGACAACAGACTTATAGGAGGATTAATGCTATTTATCAGATCTCACCAAACATATTTGTACTTTGAGGCAGGTTTTTAAGTTTTTATTATCAGTTTTATTAGTCACAAGAAATTTTTTTAAAGTTTTGTTAAATGACAGTGTATTGATCTCATTGAAAGAATGTTTAGTAATACTTTTCTGGTTGTTGCTTTAAAATCCAAAAATAAAGACGAATGTATATATCATTTTAAATGTTAGGTTCGAAACAATTTTTAGAAACCGTTGTTAGAAACAATTTTGCTATAGTACTTCAAGAGTTTATTTAAATAAACCCATTTAGTCACTAGTATATTCTATCTTGTAATATTTTTACCCAGTGCGTTTTTGAGAAATAGCACTGTAATACAAAAGCAGTTTTATTCTTAACATACGTCATGATATGTGGTTTTGTTGGATTTTTTATACTTTTAAAAAAATTTTATTTATTTATTTGACAGAGTGAGACTTAGTGAGAGAGGGAACAGAAGCAGGGGGAGTGGGAGAGGGAGAGGCAGGCTTCCCGCCTTGGAGGGAGCCTGATGCCAGGCTCCATCCCAGGACCCTGGGATCATGACCTGAGCGGAAGGCAGATGCTTAATGACTGAGGTGCTCTGGATTTTTTTATACTTTCTATAGATCTTTCAGTGTCAGTGATAGCACATTTTCAGGAAATCCTAGATTATTAAAAGTTGTAAATGATTTCAAGACTTAATTTTAATTATTTCAGATTCATTTCCTACTTTTTTCTAACTAAAACTGTTTCCTTATACATTGTGCACGTTATTAACATCTCACATTGCAGTAAATTTTTAAGTAAAGTGGGAGAAGCTGGAGAGGCTGGAGATTTCAGAATCTTTATGGAATAAGTGATTTAGGTGGTTGTGCCTAGAATCTTGGAGAGATGGGCTTTTTCAGATGTATCATTCTCTTCCATAATCACTGCCTTTAGAAACATAAAAATAATGGATTGATTATAAACGCCCTTTGCTTTTGTGCATGTTCTC